CCCCCCCCCCCCCCCCTCGGGGTTTTTTTTTTTTTTTTTTTTTTTTTTGGCAATGGAAACAAATTGTAAGAATTATTGTAAAAAAATATTTCAATTTAATTGGCAATTTTCATGTAAAACAAAGTCAAACGAACACCAAAAGATAGATGATTTTCTTGATTTTTTTTTACTTTTTTTGGCAATGGAAACAAATTTCATTCCCAATACCAGTAAAATATATCCTTTTAATTGACAATTTTCATGTAAACAAAGTCAAACGAACACCAAAAAATACTTTTATTTCAACATTTTTCACGTCGAAAATTATACCAATTAAACACAATAATTTAAAATTCCTAGGAAAACAATTTCTAAGTAATTCAATTTCCTGAAATTCATTTTCAATTTAATTTAATTCCATTTTTGTAATCAAACGACCCTTAAATTTAATAGGAGTATATTTTTTTTCCAACAAAATTCCAGTCACCAATTGCGAGGTTTTCTCCACTATTCACGAGAAAAAACTACTTAAGTTCGCATATCACTATGTTTGTCTTTACTTAAAACAAAACTTTCACCATTGCTACTCATCTTTATGGTTTTCGGATCCTATGATTGGAACCCAACGTGGGAAAGATGTATAAGCTAGTTAGCCCCTATTTGTAAGGCTGCAAAAAAAAATAATAATAAATAAATAAAAAATAATAATAATAATAAAAATAAATAAATTTCACAAAACTGCAAATTGAATCAACTGCTGATTTGAAATCGTTAGTTCGGAGCCATGTGGACCTGTGGTTTTTTCCCTTCAAACCGAACCAAATCGTTTTATAATTGTTTGATTTAGGTTTCGATTTTCAAAAATCGCACAAAATCAAAACGAATTGTTTTTAAATTTTTTAATTAAAACATTAATTTTATTAACTTATAAATTTAACAATTCTCACTTTTCAAAAAAAAAAAAAAATCAATTTAGCAATATAAATTACAACCAATTCATTGAAATAATCATAAAAAGTAAATTATGTTAATCATTATTGGCTCGTGGTTTAATAAGTTCACGACACATTCTTACGTTATATCTAATGAAACTAAAATTATTCTCAAATCATATGAAATGAATATATATATTCAACAATCTAAATCATAATTCAATAAAACTACGACTGCAAATCACGTCAAAAAATTCAGAAGTCCTAACATAAACTCTCATTTCCCAAATATTTTGACGTTCTTCTGCCACTGCTAAACGAATTGCTTGTCGCCTTTTATCTGTTAGTCTACTAATTTCTATTTGAATTGCATCTTTCTTCTTACTCTCTCGATATGTTTCGAATTCTCATCTAAGCCATTTTTCCATTGTTCTTTCTTTTATTTGTTATTTTTGAACTATTATATACTTGTAAGTTGTGATTCAGATAGAAAAATGAATATTTTGTGTGCTTAGATAATTAATGAATTTGTTTGTGGTTTGGAAATAATGAAGGACATAGCGTATTGATTGTGTGAAAATGATAAAGTTCCCTAACTATTACTATTACCTTATGCTCTCATAAAATAGTTAGAGAATGAAATTCGTTAATTCCCAATAAGCATAAACTCTACCAATCTTTGTATATTTAAATATATTCTATTTAATTTTTAATTCACATCTCGCTAGCAAAACGAAATAAGTTTTAACCAAACTATAATGGTAGAACGTGACTTTACGTTCACTAACCGCTATATGACAATATGAAAGTCAAAAAAGAAAATGTAAATAAAAATGAAGAAAAATGTATTTGCTTTATTAACATCTTTTAACAACCAAATTTGAAAATAATTTATTTATAGGTTCATGGTAAATATGAACTTAATCTAACATTTAATATTATTAGTTATCATTTAAACTTATATGTTAACTTATTTTAAATATATTATTATAATGTCGATAGGTAAATTATG